TAGTGTAACAAATACATGTTTTTAAAATTAGTTATTCTTTAATTAAGGACAAAACATTAAATAAGAGCAACCATTATTAGAGTCATCTATAATAAGCTATCCCCATTCATTTCATATCTTGAAGTGCAAGGATGAAGGAGGAAGATACATAAACTGTGGGAAAAGCCATTATTTTTAAGGAGAAAAATCTCAATCATACAATTAAAATTATCACATGTAGAATAAGGACTGTATATTTCTCCTCTCTAGTCTCACCTATTTATACTTTACATTTATAAGTGAGATAATAAATATAAATAACAATCTTTATTTACAAATCTTATTTATTACAAATATTATCCCATGAGTGCCATCATTAGCGTAGAAAAGATATATTTAGCATAAACTTCTACATTCATGGGAACGTATCCCAAGATCTTTATAATCTTATTTATTACAAATATTATCCCATGAGTGCCATCATTAGCATAGAAAAGATATATTTAGCATAAACTTCTACATTCATGGGAACGTATCCCAAGATCTTTATATATCTCCAAATTAAAAAATCAGTACACTATATAATTCATCCAAGAAAATGCAGTGACATACAACCATGAGAATAACAGTAAAGTCACAATGAGATGTAGGCTCATTAGAAGACATTTAACAATATGCAATTTGCGGAACGCAAAAATTTGATGATTTAAACAAATTTTACATTTTTTATAGTTCTAAACAAGTTTATTTCTTCCACTTGAAGAGATCCTGGTATCAATTTTGAAAAATGGTAGTCTTATGAAATAATTCATTCATCTCTTGAGGGGAGGGAAGGGCAGTATTTTTTATTTGAAAAATTAGATTTTGTTAACAAGAACTTCCCAAGGCTCCACTGCCAAACTTTAAAATAGGGATAATGATAAATGACCATTGACCATCCTCACTGGAGGATGAGCATGAACTAAAAAGGTAGATTGGAAAGTATTCTGTAAACTCCAACCAGTTTGACTGCCTGGTCTCATCCCCTCCTACTCCTTCTAAAACCTTGCTTCTTCAATTATTCCCCCCACTCCCACTAGTCCTTATTTCTCCCTTAATCTGTGACTATGCTCATCTTTCCAGTCTTAAGGAAAAAATAAAACACTTTCTTCAGCCATGAAGCTCATGGATATAGTCCTCCTTCCTTCCTTGCCCTCAGATTTAAGCTCTATCAAGAGCAGTCTACACTCCCTGTATCTCTACAGCCTCATTTCCTCTTCACAGGACTGAGACTGACATCCATACCATTACTCTGTAGTGGCTATGCCTAGGGTGGCTCCCAGGTACCTAATCCAAGCGGCATTGTGTAGTTCTGACCTGACTTCCCCATTGCATTCAACAGTGGTTTAGCATCCCTTTTCAAAATTTTTCTGTAAGCATCTTTGATACCACTATCCTTTTGATGTGTTCCTATTTCGTTCAAGAATCCTCCCTCTTTTAACTCATCTCCCCACCTCCACTGCTGCCCATCACAAGTTCCTTAAACAATGAATGATACTGTGTGAGTTCTATTCAGGGCCATTTCCCGTTTTCTTGTCACACTATATTCTCTCCCTGAGTGATCTTAACTATTCTCCTGATTTTTTAGCCACCACCTGAACAGTGATGATTACAAATGTCTCTCTGGTATAAAGCTCATAAACTGTGGATCTATATTCAGCTACTTACTAAACATTCTCCACATATGTCTCATAGGCATCTCAAGCTTAAAATGACCAAAATTACTGAATTTATCTCAGCAACCATATTCATTCTGTAATTCCCTTGTTTTCCTTCCTTATTGTCCTTCTTAGTTAATGACAATATCATTCCTTAAGTGGGATTAAAGTTTAGTCCAATCTGAGTACCTCCTGTGAGTTATTACTGTGCTAGAAAGTATGGAAACCAAAACAAGTAAGTCATGGCCCCATTACTTAAAGAAATAGTTCCATGAGGGAGACGGTCTGTTCAATCAAAAAAATTATGTACTTTTTGTTTAATTCTGATCAAAAAGTTTACAAATTTTGTAACTTGTTCAAGTGCCTATCTCACAGATGAAAACAAGCCTGTAAATTCCCTGAGAACGGAGATTGTCTTATTTTTTTATTCCAAGCACATAATGGGAAAAGTTTACAAATTTTGTAACTTGTTCAAGTGCCTATCTCACAGATGAAACCAAGCCTGTAAATTCCCTGAGAACGGAGATTGTCTTATTTTTTTATTCCAAGCACATAATGGGCACTCAGTAACTAATGAATGCAAGGATGCTACTAATGAATAAAAATAAGCTTGTATTTCCATAAAATATTGAAGCAAAATGTTTTTCTGTGCTTAACTAGAGAACTGGGTTAAACTAAGAAAATTTGGACACATCACTTCTACATTCTCAAAATAATATATATTGTTAAGCAATATCATAGATTACTAGGTTGGCAAATTGTTACTAATTCTCTTTGAGTGTCTAAGTCCTGTAAAATGATTTGAGAATTTCTCTGTATTGCTACTTCAATTTTTACAGGTATTTGTATCATCTCCCAAATTAGTTTAATTGACAAACTTAGTTAAAAGGCTATTCATCATTACTCTTGGATCATTAGAAGCACTAAGCAAAATTAGACCTAATAATGATCTCAGTCTCAACCTCCTAATGTCCATCCCCTCTAGGTAACATTTAAATTATACAGTCATGCAAATCAATGATAATTATTTTTTCCTAAAAAGATTATATTGGAATCTCTCAACCTGAATAATATTTTTTCTTATTTTTACCTAACTAAAAGGAAGATAAAAGAAAAACATATTTAGACAGCCAAAAAAGACAATTCAATGTGCTTGAAAGGCTTATCACAAGATTACTTTGTAGAACCAGAAGTGTCAAACTATGCACATCAGCTGCCATCCTACATACAGATTTCTCTGCCATGGTAATAAAATGAGAAACCGTTTGATTTAATAATAATAAAAAAGCAACATCAGTTGGTGCATATTACATGTAGCAGCTAGCCCTGGTTGCCTAGCAACCAGTCATGAGTGAACTCCACAGAGAATAAAAGCCCTAAACAAATGTATAGTTTGTGCAAGTTTCAAGGACTCAAAGAGGTGTGTCAGTAGTTAATCTAAATTCTACTTGACAATTACCATACTAAGATGGAGAAAGGAGAATTCATCACTATCTCACAGAATGAAGCATTAACCAGAGGTGAGATTTGGCCCCTTAGGTTTATACCTTTTGAACCAGTGGTTTTACAGGAAAAAAAAATTGTGACAATATGATTTATAAATTACAAAAACTTCATGCAGAAAAGAAACAACAAAATATCACTGTTATAACATGCATTCATTCATTCAACAAGATACATAATGTGCCAGATACTGTCCCAGCCACTGGAAATACAAATATGAAAGTCACATTACAAGCTCTCAAGCAGCTCATACTATATTGGAGAAATCAGACAGTAAACAAACAATAACAATATCATAAATTCTAATACAGAGGTAATCATGAATATTATGAAAACACAAGGTATCTGATTCAGAGGGGGAGGATTAAATGGTCAGGGAAAGCTTATCAGAGGAGGTGTCACTTGAGCTGAGTCTTAAAGGACAAAAAGTTATAGAAGTGGAATAAGGGGAGAATATAAATATATTTATATATGCATATTTATATATACTTAAAATACTCTAAATACACTTAAAAATATATTTTTTATATTAAATACATTTTAAAATATATATTTTAAAATTATATATTTTTTAAAAAAATTAACGTGAAGGGAAAATATTTGCAAGGGCACAGAGGTGAGCAAGCAAAAGCGTGTTGCATATTAGAGGAACTCAATGACATTTGGCGGTACTAGATGTTAGGGTCCCAATGCTGAAAGAGGAGTCCAAAGAGACAGGCCAAGCCCTTTCCAGAAGGACTTAGCATGCCAGGCTAAGAAGTCTGGCTTCATCCAGAATGAAATTGGGAGGCACAGAAGGGTTTTAAGCCTAGAAATAATATAATCACATATGATAATGATGTGAAATACATTACAGAGGGCAAAGAGGCCATCAGGAGAACAGACAAGAAGCTACTATAGTAAGAGAGATACTCAGGAGATATAATCCCCAAGAGATTTGTATGGGTAGGAGAGGGGGGTTGGGCAAGAGACTCAAACATGACTTCTGGGTTTCTTAATTCACTAGCACAGGGCTCTAGGAAATTTAAAAAGATATTTATAGTATATATGCTACTCAGTCCCTGCTGAAATATTAGTCTTGACCCCCTACCTCCTTCCTGCCTCAACAAAACAATTACACAGAGGTTTAAAAGTATCTGTACAGGAAGGAAAAGTTACTGGGGAGGAGGAAGAGAAGAGAAGGAAAGGGGAGAGGGAGGCAGAAAAAAAGGAAAAACAGAGAAAAGTAAGAGATACCTGGAAGTAAAATTTATCCGAACATCTGAATGAAAGAGATAATTCTAAGTTTAAAAAGAATAAAAAGAAACCACAAAGGAAAACGCTACTGGTGCTTTACCACAGAAAACTTTAAAATGGAGATATGTTGACTAATACAAAATAATTTTTAAAATTTAGGAAAAAAGTGTTTGTAAAAAATATAACGGAGTTACTATCCTTTACATCTAAAATACTTAAGATCAAATAAAATCAGGAGATGCTATCAATAAATAAGCAAGAAAAACAAATCCAATCAGTTTCATCTATCCCTAATAAAAGTATGCCTTAGCCTTGTATTTCAATAAATAGCTCATTCATTTGAGATTTTTCTGTAAAGTTAGTCAGTCATCTCTACTCATTTTAACTTAAATTAACAAGTAGTTCTGCACATTTCTGTTAAATTATAAGAGCTTTCTACAGTACCCTAAAGTCAAGGGTATTAAGAACTTCAATTTGAATAATAAAATTTAAGTTTTTAGTAACTGAAGGGGTTTTAACCACTTTTGCATACTTTACCCACTTTAATGCACTTACACTTATAACAAGGCTGTGCCTTTACATTACCTGAGGTGGTTAAGTAGAGGCTGAAGTCTTTCATCGGACTGCACAGCAGGCAAGGATCTGGCTGTTAACTAAAAGCAAAGAAGAAAGTTAGTAAGAACAGCCATGGCCAAACACCCAACATATTTGAATACTAAATGCAAAATGGGGGTAGGGGAAGTAGTACTAAAAATGTAATGTCTCTTTTTTCAATCAAGGAATTACATAAAAAGCTGATACGTGATTAGAGTTAACTACACGGATCTAAGGACATAGAGTTTGTCACTGAGTTTAGAAGTTTAAAAATAAAAGGGAAACAAAACAAAAAATAAGAGTGTCCATCAAAGTTCATGAAAAAGCCTCTACTCGTGAAAATATATCTTTGTAAATAAAAATGAAAAATCTTCTAAATGTTAAAATATATAACAACTAACCTTACAGTACTGAATCCTAAGATGAGGAAGAAATTGGGGGAGAGACTTTCATTTATGGCTAAGCCACTGTGAAAGTGGTTACACGGAGAAGTGTGTACACACACACACACACCCCACCATGCATGCTTTCATTTTGACAACCACTTTACTATAAGGAACCAAGAATGTCTTTTAAATATACAGAAGCAATTCAAAATATTTAATATTGAATATGACTCAAATTTATCTAGGAAATAAAAAGTGAAAGCCAAAGCCTTGTAGTTAAATACTGTGCATTAAGCTGACAGTACATCATGGAAATGTGAGCTTCTGATATATTTTATTGCAATAATATTAATTATATCTCTATGTATCTCTATTTTCCACTTTGTTCTTAAGAGAATGTCCTCTTTTAAGAATTTGACTCCCCAAAATTAAAGACATTTATCCAAAGTAATCAGATAGCTTGAAGCAAATTTAAAACATCAAAACAAATGCAGGGCTGGCCCGGTGGCGCACTGGATAGTGCGCCGCTTGGGAAGTGCGGCGGCGCTCCCGCCCGAGGGTTCGGATCCCACATACAGACCGGTTCCCGCTCACTGGCTGAGCGAGGCGCGGGAGCAACACCGAGGGTTGCGATCCCGTTGCCGGTCCCAGTCCGGTACGGGGGCGACACTGAGGGTTGCGATCCGTTGCCGGACACGGAAAAAGACCAAAAAAAAAAAAAATTAAAACAAATGCAAAAATAAATCTCTTCTGGATTCAATTATAAGAAAAATAGTTCTTGTATTCTACTAATAAACCATGTGGAAATTCACGAAAGAGAAACTTAGGCAGGCAACAAACTAAAAGATATCCTTGGTTTATACAGGGCATTCCCTCTAATTTTTCGTGTTAATTAAAATCTCCTGAAAATGGAAAACAGACACAATTCATCAGACCTAATTTGACAATATGCAAATAAAACTATCAATTTTTAAACGTCTAATAAGTATATTTGTGAAAAAAATGTTGACCAAAATGTCATATATAAAGTCATTTTTATTAAATCATATCTAATAATAATAGAAAAACTTTCCTGATTTTGCACAAGTCAACTCATCTAAGTTACTGACTAATTTAAAATGCAATAAAGTGAGACAATTAGTCTGCTGCAATTTCAGCACAACCAGACTTTCAGTATCCCTGAGGAATGTTAAGTCTAAAATTTCATGACATATAAAATGTTATCAAGGTTATCAAGTTTTATAAGCAAAACACTTTAATACTTTAATACACCCTGTATCTATTAATGTCAAATCCCTTTACAAAATGTCATTTTCATTGTTCAAGAGTTTTCATCAGAGTTTTCTCAGAAACAAAGCTATGCTCTAAAAAGATTTAAATGATTCATCTAGATATTTCAAAGTCAATTCTCTGAAAACAAACAGAGCAGACACACTGGGCTTTTTCATCAAACCATCTTTTCTAAATAAAAGCAAACAAACAAAAACACATTGGTAACAGCAAAATATTTCCAGACATCTGTTCATTCCACATAGGAAAAATTCTCAAATCTACCACTTCATCTCAATCTTAGCCTGTGTTTTTTTTTCTAGACTATTAATACATTTCCATTCACTGTTGTTTCTGCCTCCATTCCCGCCTCTTGCCTAATTTATTCTCCACACCAAGGTCAGGGTGAAATATTCAGAATTAAGTTTTCAAGCTAAAGTTATTATACCAGTTTTTCATCAAACATTTTTTAAAAATTTTCCTTCTGGGCTACATTCTGAAACACTAGGTGTAGAATGACTATACGAGCAGTTTTCAAAAAGTTCACAGAAGGATTTGTATTATCTTTTAATGCCATTTTTCCACGAACTTTTTGAAGTAGCCTTCTGCCAACTCCGCAACACAACATGAGTACATCAGGTAGAAATGTGCCACAGTTCCAGTTTCTGGAACACACATGCTCAATGATTTGAGCGCCTCTCCACGCCCCCAACCCAATCCTGGCCCCTCCCCACCTCCAACTTATTTTCAAGTTTGAATCTCTGGCAAGAAGGACTACTAAGCCAGGAGTCAATGCTCTGAGTAAAATTATTTCAAGAAGATTTTGAGTTTTCCAAAAGATTTGCTTTCAACTTTTAAAACCATTAGCATTTTCAAAGAGCATGTGTATCTTCATGTTAAAAAGACGAGGTAATAAAGCTATTCCAAAGCTCCTTAAAGTGGCAAACCAATCTACTGACCTTTTGCTGACAAAACGTAAATTTCATTTTAGGTATCTCTGGCTCCATCATTTCTTCTGAAATTTCTCTCTGAGCTAATGTAGTTAGTACTCACATCTGCTGGACTATCAGGGGTACTACCTCCCTAGCACTTACAACATAACAGATGTTTAATAAGTATTTATTGAATGTGTAACAAATCCAAGAGCTTGCAATTGTGTGATTCCATTAACAGAAGAAAATGAAAGTACATCTCTATCTACATTTCATAGATAAAGCTTTTCAAATTCTGGCTTTCAACAAAACTAAATCTAAATCAAAACTAAACTAAATTACAATTGCTAGCCTTCCAAGATACAGATACACTATCATAACAAGATTTTTAGCATTAAAGATTTTTAAGATTTCCACTCCAACCTGAAATGAATATCTTTCTAGGTTAAATAGACTTTGGTTTCCAAATATGCCTTAGTTTTGTTTGTTTGTTTGTTTTCAAATAGAAAACACAACAATGTCCTTAACACGTAAATCACCAAGAATAAAAGAGAAAGAAGATCTATCACAGTTTACATCTGGGAAGCCTAAATGGATTATTTGAGTTAGGGCTATTTCATGGGAATCATCATAAAAGTTGGCATACCTTATAGCTTATTTTGATTATTGTTGAGAGGTGAGAGGTGAGTTAACACGTTCTTTCATCATTAAGAATATATCTAGCACACAGAATTAACCAATACAGAATTTGTGCTATTTTTAGGCAAGTATAAGAGACTACTGATTTTCAAATAAATCTCATTTTAAAGATTAGTATCACTGAGTAAATCTTATACTTTGAAATCTATTTGCATATAAAAAATAATAATGCATTTTACCAACTAATAATCCTCTTTTAAACACCAATAAATATCACATAGATTCAAAGTCACAGAGATGAAAGAGAGCCTGGAGGTATCTGGTCCAACCTTGTCATTTTACATGAGGAAACAAGTCCCTCAGGCCACAAGCAGCTAGTTGCTGGCCTGCACACAGAGCCTGTGCTAGCACCTGAGATCTGGATACACACAGTACGTTCAGGGCACTTTCCTCTGCCACACCACCATTCAGAGCACTCCAAACATCACATGTGAACTGGTCAGAAGCCTTCACCTGATCCCAGAGTGCTTCTGTGCCCTCTTATTCCCTCATTTCTCAAAATAGGACAGCACTCTTCAAGATTCACTTCACGCATGAACTTTAGTCTTGAAAATTCCCAAATTTTTGCCTGGAAGGTTCCTGCACATCATTTGTGATTTGGCTGAAAGGTAACCTCCTCATAGAGGCTTTCCCTAATCACCTTTGGTAAAGCAGCACTTTTTCCGTAGGTACTCTAATATTACCTAGGTATCTCACAACATTCACCACTACCTGAAATGATCTTACTCATTAATTTTCTCATTGTGCCTTGCCCCACAAGAATACAGTTACCATTGGGAAAGGAACCTTTTTTATAAAATATTTCTTGCCCACCACTTTTCCCCATTGCTTAGAAGAGCATGCAGTAGGGACTCAATAAATATTGTAGAGTCAATGAAACGTTCACCCCTCTCAAATATTTCCAATAGAGGCATGAGTTTAGAAGAGTTTGCCATAGACACTGATCCTTTTGGTCTTGCATTGCTGATGTTTTCATGAGTAAATATGACCTATTAACTAGAAGAGACACACATTTCTCCTTTCATCCCATCCAAGTAGAATATCTTAAGTTCTCCTTCTAAAAGGAGGGCAAGTGTCCCACCACTCAATGCAGTTGTAACTGCGGCTCCCTGGATCAAAGGAAACAAGTAGACCCAAACTATCAGTTCAAAACTGAAATTACAGATATATTACAACAGGCACAACCAAAAAAGTAACCATGACGTAGTACCTTCCTTCTAATCTATGTCTTTTTGTGTTTTGGTGGGGAGTTTTGGTCATTAAACGGTCAATACAAATAAAGCAGAAATATCAACTGAATACACACTTTTTCCAACAGTACTAAAAATTTTAAACACACATCACAGTTCAAGGTCTTTTATAGTGAATACCCATTAAAAAAAATTCACCTGCCAAGGCTAACACTACCTCAAAAATTTACCGAAAGTGAATAAGGAACAAACAGTGTAAACGTAACTCTATTCAAATAAGATTCAGACCAATGTAATGAAACAGGCTTTGTCATTTAAATCACAATGCTAAATATTAAGAGTGTGTTTAAACACCTTTCAAGATGTGATTGCTAAATAAGTGCGTTGCAGTTTCTGGTAGGTTAGTTACTTTGAAAGACAGTCCAAAATATTTGTCTCAACACACCCCACCCCAAGAGGACATAATGTTTCAAGAAAATTGAAATACAAATAGTAAGTAGAAGATTAATGTACCCAAGGATAGAAAATCCTGGATATAAAACATGCTTGGCTCTCATATCTTTTCAAGAGTAAAGCAAACACA